CCCACCTTGATTAACAACAGTCTTTCCTTTATTGCGGCTATTGTTCTGGTTCCGTCCAGCAGGTTGGGTGTTCCTCTGGTTAAGTCGGGGAGTCTGTTGCTGGGTTGCAACCATCTTGGTCATGCCCTCCTTCTCGAGTGCAATACCTTCTTCAACATTTACGGCCCTCTCTGCTAATTCGCTGACGCTACCGTACGTCACAGCCTAAAGCCTTCCCCAAATCTCTGGTCGAAGTCCCCGGAGGAACCTACGAACCATGGCAGCTTCATCGTCATTTCCATTGTACAAGTACCTTCGGAGGCGACTGAATACTAGCTCGTATTCTCGGACACTCATCGATCGCTGTTCCAAGGCCATGAACTGCTTCTCTAAACGATCACGGGCATCGGGAGGGAAATACTTGAACTGAAATTCCCTTTTAAACACTTCCCAATTGACCGGCAGGTATCGATAATGAGTGGCAACGCTTTCCCACCAGGCTCGAGCATCATCATCCAAGAAGTTGATAGCTATGTGCTTCTTAAACTCCTCGGGACACTGAGAAGTCTCAAAATTTGTCTCCAAATTTCTCAACCATTTGTCTGCTATGACCGTGTTCTGCTCTCCTTTGAATTTCTGAACACCCAAGTCCCTCATCATTATAACAAGCTTCAGAAATTTAGCCGATGGGGAATCGGTACGCTGGCCTTCTTGGATGATCTGCTGATGCTGCTGATGCTGCTTCTGACGAATCATGTACGTTAACAGCTCTTGAATCATCCCCAGGGTCTGCTGGTTTTCTGGAACATTTTCCCCATTCAGAACTTCCTGATTCTCTCTCGGCATAGGCTGATTTGGGTGAGCAGTGTTACGACCAAGAGGCGTGTTCGGACGGGGCATGGGGTAAGAGTAAGTTGACGATGAACTGTAGCGGCCTGACCTTGGGGGAGAGTACAACGGCGTCGAGTTGGGATCATCACTATCGGACGCTCTATAAGTCCTGTCCGTGAATTGAGCCGAGTCTTCACCACCCTCATTATCTACGGGCTGCGGACCCCATTCTTCCGACTCGAATGGCTGGCTCCAATTCTCATAAGACGGACGAAAATCCATCACGCTCAGATCCTTGGCCAGACATCCTGCATCCAATTCCAACAAGGTAAACTTAACTCTCACCTATCTAAAGAAATCTACCTAAGGTGAAAGACAAACCGGATTATCCTAAGTGCCTTTTGCGACTAATTTACTCGATAAAACATTTTTGAAAATACAAGATCCGAACAGCATCATAACCATGCTCTGATACCACCGTTGTAACCCCCCCGAATCGTCCTATGCCCGGACAAGCCACGGACAACCCGGAGACGCTACTTTGAAAGTACTCACCAACGATCCGGCCGAGGTTCGAGAACAAATCAAGACCCTTAGCCAGTCCATCGGTGAGACCTTCCCACTTGGAATACCACTTAGGCTTGCCAACCCTTATGATATCCAAGTGTTGAGCCGAATCGGACTAAGTCATTATCAGACATCACTCGTTGTTTTTAAAAGAAACCCGAATTATTCATTACGAAAAAGTATATTTTACAAATTCACCGATATACTTTAAAAGAGTTTTGATGGCCGAGGCCTAGAGCCCAAATACTTAAACTTAAAACATATTCAACATACTTGTTTTACAAAAGGCACAAAAACTACTCCGGGTTCCTAAGTCCAACACGCCACTACTCCTTTCCACTAGGGTTTCCTGCAAAACAAATGGGTTCATAAGTAATCTAATATTACTTAGTGAGCTCAGGAGTCCCTGCAAACGCATTTGAAAAACCCCACCCTTTCCCCAAAACAAAACACCCGACAAGCAATCAGAGTATGCAAGCGAAATAGCAGCAAACCAACAACGAAACGACTCGAGAGTTTTAATCAAGTTTTACATCCAAATTTTTAGGGCCCGGATATGCTTCCTTCCTTACCACTACCATCGTGAACACCCGAGTCATAGCCACAAAGGCATACGACCGTAACATCACTTTAAGCTACACCGTCGTGTAGATAGCTTCGGCCAAGGTAGCGAACCAAGTCTCTCCGAAGCTCATCGTACTAGCGTGAGACTCTAGAAAATGGAAGTGAACCGGGAATCACGCTAGAACGGAACCAGCGAAGGACAACATATCCAAGTCTTGAGATGCTTATGGTTCGGACAACTGTCACGAAAGCCACATAACAAGACCTTAAAGATTTCATCGAGAACTTGGGATCTATGGTTTAATTGCACACATAGAAGCAAGAATCGGAACACAGCACTCGCGTATTAGATCACTGTGAGTGGATCTGCGATCACAAACACGATCTAATACCGAGATCCACAATCATGATGCATACATAATTTCAAGAAAAACGTTCAACGAAATTAAAGCATGCAACTACATGATTATGCAAGACCGGATACTAGATCTAGCCTTTCGTTCCCAGATCTAGATCGGTAAGTATGCTTCCTGAACTCACAAATCTGTTTTGACGACAGCTCGACTCGGACTTCTCTCTTCCGGTGAAACTGGCGTCAGCGTCTCGGCGATTTCGGTCTCCGGCGATGAACCCTCGGCGACGGACAGCAATCCTTCCCTTCGATCGGACGGAGATATTTTATTTTTTGAGAATTTTGGGTGAACAGCCCAAATGAAGACTCGAAGGCTCTATTTATAGCCTTTAGATTCGGTTTTTCAGCCAGTTTCGGAATTGGTTCGGAACTACCAAGTGTAGCTTGGGGTTTGGCGAGACAAGCCTTCTCTTCGCTGCCGGACACGTGGCAGTCATGGAGGAAAACAAGGATCATGTTGGATTTCGTCCATTGCATCTTCCCCCCCAAATCTTTGGTCGAGATTTTCCTCAGGTTATCTCTGTTTTTCCTGTCGGATTTTTGCCACGTGTCAAAGATGTCGAGTGTAGATACACTAAATCGGGCAAGATCGGATTTTCTCGACCGGCCATCGACAGGAATGATGAAGTCTCGACATTCTTCGTTCCTTCCTCGTTCCTTCGGCAATCCGCTTCGATAAACCTTCATACTTAGCCATTTTATGGCTTTGGGTCGAAACGCCTTGCTTTGTTTTTGGTCCAAACTTCGCATGGTTGGTAACATACCTCTTCGGCTACGTTTCCTCGCACATCTCTCGACCAAGTGACGTTTCCTTCGGTTATGCCTCGATCGATCACCGTCTTCCGGCCTCACTAGTCTTCCAGGGTCCTTCTATTCATTGTTGGTCGATGAATTTTCATCCGGTCACTAGGTTAGGGTGAGGGTCACTACAACAATAGTGCTTCTCTAGCTAAGGAGTGCTGGAAAAGCTTGCAGAGCAGAAAATCCGAAGACACACCCGTCCTCTTTGATGCTAGATACCAAATCTTCAAACTTCTCAATGTAATCCATTGGATGCTCATAAGTGTGGCCATGGAATGGGTGTTGTCCTACAAGAGTGTAGTATTCAGGCTTGAGCTCAAAGTTGTTCCTCTGAAATGCAGGAGGACGTATAGCCGAGCGGTTATAATAGAACAGTGCAGGCCTTTTTATAGTTTTAAAATAATAGCAGAAAATTTGTGGGCAGTGCACTTTTTTGTCATTTTCTGATAAAAGCAGGACAAAGGCAATGCATGTTGCCTACACATATTTTGAAGCTGTTTAGTAGTGTTTAAGATATATATATATATATATTATTTTTATTAATAAAATAATAAATAGATAATAAAAGACTTTTTCTCTTTTTTTTTCTTACTCGTTTTTACTTCTTTTATAAACCACACACTTTTTCTTTACAAGTACACTTCTTCCTCTCCTCACAAAAAAAAACAAGTACTTTTTTTTCTTTTCTCACTTTGTTCATTTTGTTCACTCTACTTCTTCTTTTGCGGATTTCCATCTTCAATATAAAAAAGGTATTTTTCATATAAATTACATACATTTTATATTTTCTATATACTAACATATTATTTTCTTCTTAGGTAGAATATCTCGTATCATTCCCATTTTCTCCATTGCCTCCCGGAGACAAATATTATGAGGTTGATCCTGGCTATCCAAATAAACAAGGTTTTTTGGCTCCTTATAGATCTTCACGGAATGGGATTGTTAGGCATCATATGTCGCAATTCTACAATGGTCCTCCTCCTAGGAACAAACAAGAACTATTTAATCAATGTACAATGTCATGCATCACTATGTTCTGTTATTGAAAAAACATTTGGAGTTTGGAAGAAGAATTGGAGGATTCTTTGTGAGTTTCCTAGATATAACACACATGCTCAAAAAAGAGTGGTGATGGCTACAATGGGACTACATAATTTTATCAGAATTTCTAATTATTTTGATGAAGATTTTGCTGAACTAACGGAGCATACATATATTAGCAACACAAATTCAGAGAATGACGAAGGTGACATGGAAACTACCGCTATAGCTGATGGAGATCAAATGACAAACATTAAAGAAAATATTGCTGATATGTTATGGGCAAATCACAATACTACTCATTAAACTGTTGTTAGTTTTATTTCTGTTTTATTTGGATATTTGTTTTTATTTTTTTTTCAGATTGTAAAACTATTTAGAAAAATAATCTGTACAATATATTAATTGTTTTATATAATAATTTTATTGAATTTTATGCGCTTTTATATAATTTACTGTTTAATATTTTATATGCATATATGATGTGCACTGTTTGATCTGCTTTTATCATTCACGCGTATAATATAGACTGTGCAATCATCATGATCTGCATTTATCCTGCATGATCTGCATTTGTCCAACATAGGCCTTGAATGGAAAGCAGATAAAAAGCAGTTATTCTGCCAAGCAGATCTACTGTTCTGTATATTACCATTCAACATAAAATAAATATGGTGCAGTTCAAAAAAAAAATATTATTAAAAATAATTGTCGTGCTTGCAGATCAAAAATTTAAAAAGAAAATTGTACTTCACTGTGAACAGTAAAAACGCTGGAGATTTGGAGTGATTGATCTGCTAGATCTGCTAGATCTGCTTTTATTCTACTTGATAAGCTTGATCTGCTCTGCCCGATACGCTCTCTCCATTCGAAGTCATAATCTGCATGATCTGCATGATGTGCAATGCTTGATCTGCGTTTACCATTCGAAGCCTAGACAAGTAGTGAACAAAAGTGGCGGAAAGCAGAGTACGTTGGGATTACGAATTTCATGAAAAATCATATCATTTGCGTGCTTTTTCTGCTTCAAATGGGGAAACCAATGTATCTCTTTATCTTGTGGATATTTAGGGTTACTGTTTCTTCTAATTTGGGGGAAAGTTGTCTATTTGTCTAGAATTTGTGTAAGAATCAGCGCTCGCAATCCCAACTCCCAAGTTGCGATTTTTCCTTGTTCTTGAGCTCAGTGTTACTTCTTTGCTCAAAATTTCACCTCTACATGATGGCTTGTCTTCGTGGCTTCTCAAGGAGAAGTCTTTACCCAAAATGGTTCTGCTGAAAGACCTCAAGCCATGTTCTTCTTCATCAACATCATAACAAAGATTATACTGAATCCAGTTTCCTTGATTCAAGTCTTATGGTTCGAGACTTTCATAGGCAATTTTTCTTTGAAGATAGAAGGAAATTTTCTTTTGTTCAACCAGTGGGTTCTTCTAGGGCATTGCTATGTAGGAACATGTCTTCTATACCAGACGATTTGGGTTCAAAGATTGATGCATTTGGAAATATTGTTGAGGAACTTGTCTCTGAGAGGTCTGTTGACTCAATGGCTACTATGGATCAGTGTAATGCAGCAATTGAGAATTATTCTTTCCCTGGGACTTGGTGCATTATGTGATTAATGGAATCCATGAGCTCACTGGTTTTAATTGGTATGATTGATTATGTTGGTTGGATTTTTGTTATTGCTTGAATATTTTCTTAAGGTCTTAGTTTAGTGATTGGTGGTTTCCACTCTTGTACCCGTAGGTGGATATCAATTGTTCCTACCGCTTCTCTCGCTAATGTACTGATGTTACCAATCTCTATGTGGGTTGCGAGACATGCTTGGGAACTACGAGTTAGTTTCTTGTACTTTCTCATTGAATTGAGTTTTTATCCTGATTGTTTCCTAAATCTTGCTGCTTTTGAACTAGATTTTGTCTAATAATATTCAGAAAGTGAAGAGAATTCAAAAGGTAAATTACCCTTATTATCTCTTTGAAATGTTTTCAAACTTAACTCAAGCACAATTACAAACAACTTTCAGGTCGATAATCGTGAAACTCTAGCTAATACACAAAATGGGAAGCTGAGTTGACGAAAAGGTGAGTTTTTTCACACAAAATTAAGTCTATCTCTGACTTGCTTTAACTAGTCTGTGGATTAATTGTCACACACACACGGTTGCTTCACATTCTGGTTCTCACAAGAGGTTTAAGGGATTTTTGTGATATAAGGTTCAAAGTAATTAAAACACAGACATGTTGTTTGATACATAATCCAAACTAACTTATGAGATATATATCTTTTGTTTTCATTTACGATAGATCCACAACAGAAGCCAGACAAGTCTTTTATCCAGAATGAAGAGACTCCCTTTATTTCTCATTAGCCAGACAAGTCTTTTGTTTTCAGGATGAAGATCGCTGATCCCTGTCCATAAATACTCAACTACCACCGCTGAATCAACCTCCAATTCCAGCCTCGTAATCCGGCGTTCCCAAGCTATGAACATACCATAATAAACTCCCCATAACTCCGCTAATACTGCTGAACAGCGCCCCACATTCAAAGCAAACCCACCACACCAATCTCCACCCTCATTCCGAATCACTCCTCCAGCCGTCGCCAAGCCCGGGTTACCCCTCGACGCACCGTCCGCGTTCAGCTTATACCAACCAACTGCCGGAGGTAACCATTTTATCATTTTCTCCACCCTCCCTGGCCGAGCTGCGCTTTGTGTGACTTTCAACCTCGCACCCAATATCTCCTTAGACAGGTTTTTAATAAATTGCACTCGATCCCTCCAAAGCTTATTTTCACCAAAAATATTACCGCACCTCCATTTCCAAGCCCACCAAACAGTTAGAGAAAACGTTGTTGACCATGAGTCTTCGTTCACACCCTCATCTCTTCCTTGCAAGTTATAGTACAACCATTCAAGGAGAGACGATTCAAAAAATTGTTGTCGTTTCCTCATTGGGACTAGTCTTATCCAAACTCCAGAAATTGCTGGGCAATCCCGAAGAATATGAATAATTGTCTCCACACCTCCCTTACAAACTTGACAAACATCAGTTGCACATAAATGCCGCATATACCTTTCCGCATTTGTCATCAAAACTTGATTCCCAACTAGCCAGAGGAAGACTCTTACACGTTCTGGTACAGCCAATCTCCAAAAATTCCCAAAAAATTGAGATACATTCTGTTTTGGCGCATTATCCCTCATCAGAGAAGCATAGGCCGACTTCACCGTGAAGCTCCCATCAGCCGTATATCCCCACGATACTCGATCTCGAGCACCTGTGACAATGTCAAGCACCACAGTAGCTAACTGAAGTCTGTGGTCGACTGAAATATATGAAGCAATGCGAGACCAGTCCCATCCCATTCCCTCTCTCCACAACTGGCGGGCCGACAAGTTAGCAATATCACCCGGTATCTCTTTAATAACCATCTCGGATAACGGTTCATCCAACACCCACTTATCTGACCAAAAGCTAATCCGCTGTCCATCCCCAGGGACCCAACGTAACCCAGGAAGGACTACCTCTCGCAGTCCAATACCAATACTCCGCCAAGTAGACGACCAAGACCGTTTAACCACAGTCCAACGAAGATCCTTAACATCACCAACCTTGTATTTGCTTCTTACCACTTTTACCCACAAACTCTTTTGGTCATGTAGCAACCGCCATCCTATCTTTAAAATATCATAATGAGTTTTAACAAAAAATATATATATATATCATAATGAACGTGAACAAAGAGTAGAATTTACATTTATCTAACATATTGTACAAATGTATTAGAATTTACATATCTAACATATCTAACAAATTTATCTAACATATCTAACATATTGTACAAAAAATATATGTTAGAATTTACATTTATCTAACATATTGTACAAATGTACATATTGTATATATAACGGGTCGGTTACCGTTCACGACGGCGGGCACACGCAGATTCCGGAGTCGTTTCTGCATACTAAAGTTCGAGATTTTTGGGTTGATGGCAGTGGGTGGGATTTTAATCGTATTGATCCTTACATTACGGATACGCAAAAGCTGGAGCTTATGGCTGTCGTGGTGGATAATGTGTCTGGGGTTAAAGATAGATTGTCGTGGGGAAATACAACGGATGGTATGTTCAGTGTGAAGTCTGCTTATGAGTTTATGACTCGTGATAGGAAGATGAAGCAAAACATGGCTGGGTTCTATAAGCGAGTTTGGCAGGTTAGAGCTCCGGAGAGAGTTCGCGTGTTTTTGTGGTTAGCCTCGCAGCGAGTTCTAATGACAAATAGTGAAAGACAGAGACGGCATCTAAGTGACACTGGAGTGTGCTCAGTTTGCCATGGGGGAGTAGAGACGGTTCTCCATGTCCTGCGCGATTGCCCGGTATATGGGAGAGGTTGGTGCCTAGGGATAGAAGAGGTGTTTTTTTTTATATGTCCTTACTTGAGTGGTTGTATGAGAACTTAGGGATGGATACTAAAGTCTTTGAGAGCACATGGGCGACTGTTTTTGCTGTTGCGTGCTGGTGGGGGTGGAAATGGCGGTGCGAGAATGTGTTCGGTGGCAATAAACTTTGTCGAGATCGTGTTAAAGTTATTAAGGATCTTGCGAGGGAGGTGGGGGAATCCCGTCCGCTAAATAATGTCTCGAGGCAGGCTCGGGTGCGAGTTGAGCGGTTGATTAAATGGGTTACTCCGGGGTCTGGCTGGGTTAAGCTTAATACGGATGGAGGATCGCGCGGGAACCCAGGGATTGCGACAGCTGGTGGAGTGTTACGTAATGAACATGGTGAATGGCTTGGTGGATTCATGTGCAATATTGGTCGGTGTACTGCTCCTCTAGCGGAGCTTTGGGGAGTCTTTTACGGTCTTCACATTGCTTGGGAGAAGAGGATACCATGTTTAGAGGTGGAGGTGGATTCAGAGATGGTTGTGGGTTTTCTCAAGACAGGGATAAGTGAAATGCATCCGTTGTCGTTCCTGGTACGCTTGTGCCATGGCTTACTTACGAGGGACTGGAATGTCCGCATTGCTCACGTGTATAGGGAAGCTAACCGTCTTGCGGACGGGTTAGTGAACTATGCGTTTTTGGTACCTTTAGGTTTTTATGTTTTGGATGTTGTACCGCCGGATTTGGCTTTGATTTTGCATGAGGATGTTGTTGGTTCACCTCAGCCAAGAGATTTTTATGTGTAATTTTTGATTTTTATTAATAAAACATAGGGAGGGCACCACAATGGAATATCGTTATCTCTTAATTAATATTTTTTTTTAAAAAAACATATTCCCTGCATTATACAATAATACAATAGATGATATTTTAAATAAATGCACATATATTAAGAAATCATTCAATTAACCAACTAATCTCCTTACCTCCTATTTACTCACTACTCAAATCTCGGCTACCAACTTTCTTCTCGGCAATCCTAGCCATTCTTGAATTGATATAATATATCATTGCCGTATCTAAATATGATTTTATTTACTAATCGTTTGATAATTAATACTACACCATTTTTGAAAAAATCACGATATCATGCTGATTTCTTGGCATTTTAACCAAGATATTATCAAAATAAAGATATTATCAATGTAGAACGCATTTCTTGGCATTTTAATCAAAATACAGTTTAAGTTGTTACCAAAAACCGAACAAGAACGCACATATTTACCTTTTACAATCAAACATAACCACAAACGAAATCAAAACAAAACAGTCCCAATTTAAATGTTTATTCAATCAAAACTAATCACATCTAAATCAAGAATATTCTTTGATTTAATTTACTTTCTTTGTTTCTCACCAATTAGTAAATACCCAACGACATCTATAAATATCACCTATAGTACAACCTTCAACACAAAAGCACCTTAAGCAATTGTTATTTACTCGTTACCAAACAAAAAAAGCAATTCTTATTTACTTCTTAGTTTTGGACGATGAAAATATATTTTTTGGTTAATTTTTCTATTTTGATTTTGTCGTCTCTACTATAGTTTGTTTATTCTTTTTTACTTTAGGGTGTGAAGATCCACCTTTAGTGAGGAGAATGATAATGTGAAGGATGGGGTGAATACATAGAAGAAGGTTGACTCAATGAAAAAGAATAGCATTAATTAAGTTTATGATCGACAAGGAGTGATATGTTGATGTGTTTGTATTTGTAGTTGAAATTTTTAATCTTTCTTTATAGAAGAACGCAAAACAAATTATATAATAGTATACTGCTGGTTAAATCATAAAACTAATAATCAAAATACATTACACAATCTTAAAAACTAAATAAAGTAACAAACAAATATAATTTCAATTTCAATTTTTAGTTAAAAAATAGTTCCGCGGTGTACCGCGGGTTAAAATCTAGTATAGGTTAAATTGCTGAAATCAATAAGAAATCCAACTAATTTTGCATAGATTCGTGAGAAAATCATCTAATTTTAAAAAACAAAATTAGGCCAAAAGATCATTTAAACTAAAACAGAGGGAGTAGTAGTATCTAAAATAAAACCTTAATTAGAATGTATAATTATGTAAAAAAAAATACAATTTATAGAAGTTGTTGGATTGCCATTTTGCCCTTAAGGAAGAGAAGATCATGCGGTGCATGGGAAAACTCTTCATCGTTCATTGGATAATTTCCGACGGATTACCGACGAGATATGGTATGTTTAGGGTAAGTTTAGGGTATAAACCCTTATTTTCATGATTTCTAATGGATTAGTGTGTATATGATCCTTAATATACATTAAAAACAAAGTGTGTAGTGTAAAAACACATTTTATAGATACAATATATGAAAAACAATTATTGAGATACAAAATTCAAATACTAATCCATAATATCTAATAAACCATCATAAGTTGTTTTGGTGAAACATCCTTATTTTGTTTAGTCACAAATTTTAATGGATTTTGGTACACCACTTAGCTTGTTAGTCATTCAAAAACTAATTTTTTAGCTCTTATCTATTCAAAAATTATGATAATGATTTGAAATAAGAGTTTATACAATAAACCATCGGTAATCCGTCGGTAATTACCAACGGATTACTGACGGATTGTTTTTATCATTATATGGCTCCTTTTGATATTTCTAAAACCGATGAAAATTTAAGATTCCGTCGGTAATCCCTTGGAAATTACCGACAGATTACCGATGAATTTAAAAGATATTTATTTACTGACGGATTACCGACGATTTATTACTGACGGTCCAAATTCGTCGGTAATCCGTCAAAATTCTAAATAATTACCGACGGTTTTAAATCCGTCGGTAATTTACCGACGGAAAAACGACGGGTACCTATAAAAATAATTTTGTCAAAAATTGATCGGTTTTACCGACGGATTTAAGGCCGTCGGTATTTCCGTCAGTTACATCCTTGTTTTCTTGTAGTGAACTACACACTATGATACAAGGTGATTTCATATAATTGAAAATTTGGAATAATAAATTAATTGTTTTGAAATTTAACTTTTTTATCACTATCTATTTTCTGTATAGGCTGAAGCAGTTTTATTATAATCATTAATGGCAGAATTTTAATAAGTTTTAAACTAATTACTAAAATATTGGGAAAAAAGTAAAAAAGAGCAAAATAAGAAAATGTTTCTAAGAGCATCCAAAAGAGTGGAGTATAAATTAGATTAAAAATTTAATTAATAAATTATAAGAAAACTAAAACCAATATAATCAATGTCTTTATGTGAAAGGTTTAGTTTTTTTAATCAACATTTAATTATGTAGAAAAATTAGTATTTTATTTTTAAAACCCAAAATAAGAAATGGTTTTGCTGTTACTATTCAAACTTATTACGCAGGTAATTTTAAAAAGATTCCTTTGCTGTAATAATAATTTGTATCTATCTTAACATTTTTGAAGTACATTTTGTACTAAAATCTATTTTGAATTATAACCTTTTATTTTGTATTATTTACATAATCAAACCCTTTCCATTTAAATAAATAACAAAAATTAAAAGTAAATTTTGTAATTAACTCACAAGCAAATCGCAAAATGGAAACAAATATTTATTACATCAAAAAAATTCCAAATTCTCTCTCTAATAAATCAAATCTCTCTCCAATATATTTATATAATATTATTTGTATTTAATTTATATTATTGCATAAACTATATTTATAATAAAAATACAAATATGTTTCCACACATTTTGCAATCTAAAGTTTTCAAAACGGACGTATATAACTCCATCGATAAAGGAAAAAATACAGTATATGTACAATGTCTACATAAGGTAGAAAATTTTAGATAATAGTTCAAAATCATTATAAATAGGATTAATATGTTTACAAATACAAATGAGCATGAACTTTGATTTCTCAGGTAACCAAATTAAAAATTTTATTTAGTTTAATTTGGTTCCTTATTTAAGAAAAAAAGTTTCTAAAAGTTTCAAAATATTATAAATTTTAATTTTTTAAAAAGTTTAAAATATTATAAATATTAAAACTTTTAAAAGCTGCAAATTATAATATTTAATTTAAGTTTTTCAGAATATTTAAAATATTATAAAAATTAACAAAAATTTAAATAAATAAAGTGTAAAAATGTCATAAGCATTGAAATTTATTTATTTTATTTTTTATAAGTAATAAATAAATTAAAATTAATTAAATAAATATACAACAACCTGCGCATATGCAAAGCTAGCTTTGGTACTAAACCTTTACAGATAGAGAGAAGCCAATGCGATCGTGTTTAGGAACAGAGTAGTCACAAAACCACATTCAAACACACTTATATCTAGCTATAATGACAAATTAAAGATAAGAATCTGAAATTGTTGTTGTATTTCGATAATGAAACCCTAACAAGGGAACAAATACATAGATAGCTTAATAAAACGCATTAATAAGACGTTCCTTTATTTAGAGACCTTCTGCTTCCAATAGAGACTCTTAGCCACGTCTTCCTCTCTTAGTCTTCTTCTCATACTTTCTCACTGCTCTTTCACTTCTAACTCCCTTCCTTACCAATGTCAATGGAACAGCCAACCTATCAGGGTGGTACCTTGAAAATCACACAAGAGAAGAAACATTAAAATTAAAGATGGAAGCACTTAGAATCCTTGAAAATCAAAGAAGAGGAGATAAATATATGTGAGACCTTTTGGCATGAAGATAAGAATCGTGTCTTAGTAGCTTCATCCTCCCATTCTACATCTCTAATCCAATCATATGTGTAACGTATGATGCATCCATTTTCACCACTTTTGGAATTTAGTGGAAGCTTTCTCATATATGGACAATAGTCTACATCTATTTGAACTAAACATGGAAAGGGTAGAGGACTCCAATAGATCTTCTTCAGCTTCCGTAGATATATTAAATGAAGATATTTCAGGTTTTGGAAAGGAACGACCCCTGAATTTTTAACTTCACAAGCTTTCTCTTTGTTTACTATATCTTCTAGGTCTTTTGCACTGCTAACATAAAGAATTCTAAGATTTGGTGCGAACATCAGAAACGTTAATTCCCTTAGGCCATCACAACCTTTTATATGTACTTTTACAAGGCTCGAGAAGCTGCATATCCTTCTCATCTTTATCTCGGAGATACTGCTGTCCTCAATGTTCAAATCACAAAGCTTGTCCATAGCTACATGAAATGATATTCCAGATGATATCATATTGCTATCAAAGATTGTTAGAGACTTTGTACAACTCATCAACCTATGAGAGTTCAAAATATGCCCCATTAGCCCCAGGCTTGGAGAAACATAGAATCTTGTGGTTAAAATTTCTAAATCTTCCAAAGTTTCCAACTCAGTCACTGTCTGAAGATCCCATATTAAACCAGAAAAAGCTAATTTCAAAACTCTCAAATTATGCAGACTTGATATCCCAACAATACTCGTAAGATCCCATGTTCCCTCCAAATTTAAGTGAATTAGTTTCTTCAACTCTTGCAGACCCTTTGGCAAATGACTTATCGAAGAATTTTTCAAGTTGAGATATTGCAACGAAACTAGATTTGATACATCTTCTGAAAATATTTTGACGGAATCATGATCACCTGATAGATCCAAAACAGCTAAATTTGGCAGGAATATGCAGAATTCAGTCGACCTAAATTTCTGCCCCATATGTCGCGTGAGCAAACTTGTTACTTCCATACATTTAGGCATGCCAACGAGATGCTCGATCTTGTTCTCTATCATCGACATCCTTCTCTCAACGTTCCATTTCTTAACCTTGGGAATTTCACGTGACACAACAACACCTGCAAACACTTGAATAAATGCTTGTTTTTGTGTTCCCAAATTAGATGCGATCCATAAAGCCATTTCACGAACAACATCATGCATACACACAACACCTTTTCCATCCACATAACCTGAATCCATCAACAATGATGTACAAACAAGACTACCAATGATATCATAGCCCTTGTTCTCGGCCCTTTCTAAATCTTCACTTCCATCTATAATTTCCTCGTATATCCAGTAGTCTATCAAATCTTCTTTATAAATTCTGGCATCTTCTGGGAATAGAGCGCAATATAGAAAACACTGTTTAACCTGCTCTCCCTTAAGATTATCGTAGCTATACTTCAAAAGTGGAAGAATCTTATCTTCCATGCCAGAAAACTCTGCGGCGTATGAGTTCAAAACATCTATAGCGTTACGCCATTCTTGTACCGTCTTCTTGGATGACATGGTTTCGCCTATGCTGTTGAGAGCCAATGGTAGGCCACTGCATTTTTTAGCAACTTCTTTTGCAAGTACGGGGATTCCTGGATCTCTTCCAAGTGTTGTTTGCCCAACCTTCATCTGGAACAAATCAAATGCGTCATTGCCTCCCAAACATTGGACCTCCATTGGTTTTTCAACCCCCATGCGCGCACATACATCCGTAGAACGAGTGGTAAATGCCAATTTACATCTTTTCTGTGTTCTTGGATCCGGAACTCCTATCTCAACTAATTCCATCTTCTCCCATATGTCATCTAAAAACAACACGAATCTCTTTTCCTTTAAGAAATTGAATAAACGATCAGCCTTTTGCCTTTTAGTTTTTTCTTCCCACTGTTTTCCACCAAGACCAACTTTTTCAGCGATATCATCTTGAATCTTCTCCATCTGCAACTCTTTAGAGACCACAACCCAAATAACGTAGTCAAATCCCCGTCTATCGGTACTGAACTTATTGTAGATCTGTGTGAGAAGAGTTGTCTTCCCTACACCGCCCATACCGTACATACCCATAAGACCAACTCCATCTTTTATGAGATGATTCCATGCCTTCTCGAGCATTGTTTCTTGACCAACAATTGTCGGTTGAAGAGGCAGCTCCTCCACCTCATGTGTTACAACAATCACTTCAAAATCTTCATTTTTGAGTTCCTCAACTTTTCTCAACGTCAAGAAAACACTTTCCCCGTAAAGGTATCTCGACATAAAACTTTGACGTTCAAGATTTCTAGCATTAACTATATCATTGACTTTACATGCGATAGTCTCAACTGTATTAAGCCATACCTGGAACTTTTCAAGCATTAGTTGACCTATATCCTCCTCTCTTTTGCGCCTTCTTAACAAATCATCCCGTTTAGCCTTGAGTTCTTCCATGGTTGCCTCCAGAGCCACCAGATTATTGACGAGATTATGAGTATAACCTCTTTTCTCAAGTAGCCATTCAAAGACTTTCTTCACCGGTTCATCCAAACTTATTGAGGCGGAGAAGCAATTCCCCATTTATAAATTAAAATCGAAATTTACTAGAAAATTTCTTAGCAAAAAAAAAAAAAACAGAGAGGATGCAGAGAATAATTGAAGATAGAGAGAATACATAGAATAATTTTGAAGACGTTATTTTTCGTCCACAAGAAGTAAGATAATGCTCGATCGAGTGAGTCCAAAGATATTTGTTTGTCAATTTGCATCGTTGAGAAATCACTGATCCTTTGGAAAAATCAATAATTTCGGTTTTTTTGCAAAGAAAATTGTGGTTGGTTATAAATTCTTAATCATGGCTGTCCAAAGAAGACTTGAGATAAAATTCACTGTTCCTATCAAAATTGAAAGTGCATATGTGTGACTAATTCAACTATGTGTATGATCTACTTCGAGTATGTATGAGCATAAAGTAAATAACGCACAAGAATTGTTAATGGGGTTCGGATAACCTACATCTCCGGGGCCTAGTGCAGACTTCATTAACTAGAAAAGTTCGCAACCTACAATTGCTATATGGAATCCATCAACTCTTTCCTAGAATTACAATGAAAGAATACTACCACTAATTGTCTTTACCGACTAGTGTAGCTCTTCTACAAAACCATCAAAAGATCTCTCTATCTTGTTGATGGGGCGACACCACACACTTTAAAATAATCATATGTACTTTAGAGTTTTAAAAAAGTTAATGAGTTTTAGAATGCAGTTAAATTTTAAATGCATGGTACAATAATACAGAGTAGTTGTATTTCTAAATATTTAAACATGAAAATAAAATGTAAAGTGAAACATAAGTTCTAAGAAAATTATGGTACATGTTTTGATTTTTTATTATTTTTCACTTAAGTAAAAATAAAAGATTATGAAACTCAGTTTTTCTTTTTTTTGGACCATTTAATTTAAATTAATACTTTAAACGAAGATATTCAAAGAGAGATGATGATGAGTCAAGGACAAGTCAACTACCATATGGTCTTCGTCTTCTTCTTCATTGTCATCAGTTACACGACGTCCACTGTTTCTCTATCACTAACCTTGTGTGTGTGTTTATCTGCTACAGTGTTTCATCCCTCCAACCAGAGAACATGAACAGAGGCAGCTTGATCTCTCTCCCTCCTCCTGTGCAGCCCATCTCCAAATTCTCGTAACTCTCTCTCTCTCTCTCTCTCTCTCTCTCTCTCTCTCTCTCTCTCTATTTTAGGATTCACTAGACTATGGTCATCGTTATTCTAAAGTTTCGAGATTTGGATAGAACACAGAGTGGAATATTCAAAGATGGACACCTTAGTGTGAACAAAGATGGAATCCTGATCGTCGCTCAGTCTGAACCTGGAGCTGTAAGGATATGCTTCTTGAATCTGAGATTCTCTTACTCTCCTCTCTTACATATTCTATATCTATGAGTGAATTGGATGGTTTTGGGTTTGCAGCCACCTTCTATTGAGCCATTGGACAACAACCAATTGAGTTTAGTAGATCTGGAAGTGATCAAAGTCATTGACAAAGGAAACAGTGGTAATGTCCAGTTAGTGAAACACAAACTCACTCAACAGTTTTTTGCTCTTAAGGTTCGGATTGGTTCTGTTTTGGTGTTTACATGTTATCCATGTTGCTTCTTCTCGGAGCGTCGCTGAAGAAAAGATTCAAAATATATATGTTGCAGATAATTCAAGTGAAGTCAGAAGAATCAACATGTGAAGCCATTTCTCAGGAGCTGAGGATAAACTTGAGCTCTCAATGTCCATATCTAGTCTCATGTTATCAGTCTTTCTACCATAACGGTCTAGTTTCAATCATATTGGAGTTCATGGATGGTGGATCCCTTGAGGACTTGTTAAAGAAAGTCGAAAAAGTTCCTGAGAACGTGCTCGCTGCCATCTGCAAGCGAGTAGTACTCTACACAGAATCTTTAAACATCTCTACCGGTTTCTCTTTATTAAGAAAACACAAAACTAAGAATCTTACTTCTCATTTAAACGCAGGTGCTACGAGGTCTTTGCTATATTCACCATGACAGGCGAATCATCCATCGCGACTTAAAGCCTTCAAACTTGCTAATCAATCATAGAGGTGAAGTCAAGATCACAGGCTTTGGTTGCAGCAAGATCTTTACTAGCACAAGCAGTCGAGCTAATTCTTTCGTGGGCACATACCCATATATGTCTGTAAGTCTCCTCCATTCACCTCTTAACACTCAATATAGAATATACTCAGTTTCCAGACTTTAAAGAGGTTTTATATGAACTACGGTGTCATCATATTTTGCAGCCAGAGAGAATCATGGGGAGGTCGTATAGTAACAAGAGCGATATTTGGAGCCTAGGACTTGTTTTACTCGAATGTGCAACGGGTAAATTCCCGTATACTCCTCCAGAACATAAGAAGGGATGGAGAAGCGTGTATGAGCTGGTGGAAGCTATTGTTGAAACTGCACCTCCTACTGCACCTTCCCATCTGTTCTCTCCAGAGTTTTGCTCCTTCATCTCGGAATGGTAAGACAGATTTTTCCGAACCGTTTCGTTTATGTCATTCATTTGAAATGATGCTTTTAACTTTGTGTAGTGTACAAAAAGATCCACGAAACAGGAAATCAGCAAAAGAGCTTCAGGTGCGTAATCTTATAAAGGGTTCTTGTGTCTTTCTTCTAGTCATGTGTAATGTCACGGAGAACGTTTAAAGAACCTTTTCGTTGCAAATTTCTTGTGAATAGGAACACAAGTTCGTGAATATGTTCGAAGATGCAAATCTCTCCGCTTACTTTACCAACGCAGGGTCTTTGATTCCTCCCCACTTGCTATTTAGAAACCGAGTTTGAGCAAACTTTTTACCACCAAGTTCTAGTACGTTGAATTAGCTAATTACAAGAAGGAAATAGTGAAATGGAGAAAGACCATGTCTTTGAAATGTTGAGGCTCATTTTAGAATCGAAAGTAATACTTTTACCGTACACTTTCATGGTACTATATTTTTGGTGCTATGACTTTGCAAACAACAAAATGATGGAAATATGATTTTGGTTTGCGTATATATGACCATGCACATTGGTGCGTTGGTCCCAAATTATTATTATTTTTTATTTTTTTACTTTTACGATTTAAAAAAAAAAAAAAACCAATCGCGGGCCGCCACGTGTCACTAGGGCCCGCGAAAAGTGAACAACAACAAACGGGACCGTCGCGTTTGTGAGTACGTCCTTCAGTTTTTTTTTCTTTCTAATTTTGTGTAAAATATTAGATGTGACGACGACTACACACGCCAATAAACATGGTCTAAATAAGTAGTCTTAGAGCACTTCCACTAGTGTATTTTAGAATATGTACTAATAATATTAAATTAATTTTAAAAAAAAACTAAAGAGAGAGAAAGAGAGAGGTACTTAGACCATCCACAATGGTAAAACACACATACATGTTGCTTATATCTAAAAAGAATTAATATTTTAATGTTAGAAAAAGTTAACCAATAGAAAACAAACACATAGCTAATCTATGATAGTGTACGATTCTTAAGTTGCTCACATAGAGAACGATACTTATTCTCTCTCTAAATTTTTAATTTTTTTAACCTTTTTTAATATTAAGTACCTCTTTCAGCAACCTCCAGTAGAGGTGCCATTAGAGCATCTTTAATGGCATACTTCTCAGGATGCTTCTTAGTGTTTTTTTTTGTATATTAATAATGTAATAGTGTTTGTTAAGAACCACACAAAATAGGTAATTATTGGTTGAACCTTTAGGTTGTTATAATTTTAATAATAAAATATTATAAAACATATTAATAATTTTTAAAATTAATTAAATAAATTTAAAATTGTAAACTTATATAAATTAACATAAAACATATTAGAAAATAATAAGAAAAAGATAATACAAATAAATATTATTAATAACATATATTTAACAATTTCGATAAAAATTAGAAACTTAAAAGATAGTAACATATAAATTAAAAACAGAAACTTAAAAAGATACAAACATAAAAATGAAATACAAAATATTTTATTAAATGAACAAAAAGAAAACATTTGGGGAGGCTAGGGTTGGAGAGAAAAACATTTGGGGATTTATTGTTTTCTTTCACAAAAAAAACATTTTTCAATTAAAACCAACAAAAAAACACAGCCAATCACATGAATACATGTGGCCTAAGACTCTCAAATAAAAACATCTTCGGCTACAACCGAATGGACCTTAAAAATGGACTATTTGCATTACTTGGGCTTTCTTTAATACTACAAGACCCGATCGAATACCTGGTTAAAGATTCCCTTACCTCTAAGATCCCCCTAATAATGTTGACCTTAATAAGATGATTTACATAAAATGTAACTTTTAAGTTAAGATATGTGAAAAGAGTAAGTATATAAGAATGCTAAGTTTTTGATATGTTAATTTTGGTCCAATACATGACAATATTGCCCCAATAAAGTGATCAAAGATAGTTATAGTGAGAAATTTAGTTATGAGTTATATTTCAACTTTACTAGTTTTGATTTTATTTTTAAAAAAACTGGATAATTAGGTTGATGAAGCAGATCTTACTTTAGCAGATCTTACTTTTGAATAGTGGTTACTTTTGAACAACCACGTTCCACACATGTTCAGAGATTTGTCTATCTACGAGTGGACAATTGGTTGAAGAAAAATGGACGCACGGTCCGTATATGTATGATGTTGCAAAGAGCGATCATTTGAATGAGGTTTTTTGGATATCGATGACCTATATTGTCCAAAAAACGCTTCCAATTAATCTTAAGACTCTCATGTTCATCATTGGATAGACAATTATTGTCCATATGTTCACATATACATAGACTCAATCATTTATACTAAACTTTGTAACAAGTGACTCACATGGACAACAATGATCAATTAGGTTTTTATTTTAATTATTATATGTCCACGAACAATATTTATTCACGAATAATTTAAAAAACCACAAACTCTTTAATCAATTAGGTTTTCATATTTTTTTTAAATAATCAAACACAAGTATGTATATCCATAAAATTAGATACTTCAGTTGACAATTCAATTATGAATGAACAAATGGTCAACTCCAAATAGATAATGTGTAATATATTGATTCATCCTAAAATATAGTAGAAGGCATTTTAAAATTTAGAATAAGTATAGCCATTGTGTAGTGTATAAAAATAAGTATAAAATATTTTAATATTTACAATATAAAGTGATTAAAAACAAAAGAGAAAGAGTGAGAAAGAGAAAGAAAAATAAATAATGTAAGTATTAGTTAGATGGCATATTGGTTATTAAGAGAACTTTAGAAGGTTATAAGTGCACAATATTTTTTTCATTTCCCCAAATTTTGAAAGTTACTAATGATGCAATTTATTTTCAAAAAGTGACTATAAATGGAAATAACTCTACTTAATAAAGAGTCTTTAACACCGATATACCAAAAAATAAACACATGTCAAATTTATACTAGTTCAAATAATAAAGATATAAAAAAAAAATTTAATGAATAAAATAATACATGTTTTTCTTTTTAACACCCCACGTAAAAATAATACATTTTTTTTCTTTTTAACACACCACGTAAGTTTATACCAGTAAAGATGGTCTTAGGAACCCATATGACACTGTTGACACTTATACGACCTGTGTCAGGTTTGGTTCTTCCAAGCTTAAAAAATAAGAAGCTGCAAAGGTGAATCTTTGAATATTTTTGTTCATGTTTTCACGGTAGGGTTGATAGAAGCAAAAAGGTTAAATTTAGAGTAGGTTTTAGTCGGATATAATCTCAGTATATGAATACTTGTATGAAGATTAAGTTATAACAAAATTTGTTATATAAGATATGATTTGGCGTATTTCAAATCTATCTTTAATATTTTTGAAGTACATTTTGTACTAAAATATACTTTGGGTTATAACCTTTTATTTTGGAATATTTGCATAATCAAACCCTTGTTATTCGAATAAATAACAAAACTTAAAAGTAAAATTTGTAATTAAATCACAAGCAAATCGTAAAATTAGAATCGAATCTCTGAAACGCCTCGACCGCCAGCTATGTGGTGGGCCCCATGTCCATCACCAGCCCACGGTCCCAGCTCTCTTAATGGGCCTCACGTCCTCTCACTAGGCCCCTGAACCCATCAATATCCAACAGCCAGTTTGCTAGTCCGGGAGGCTTAAATACTTCTTTACCGACCCTACATATCACCACATGATCTTTCCTGTGTTTTGGCCTCACTCACACAGTTCCGACAACCACTTCACGGCACCCATCCTTTGACTACTCCAGCATAAGTACGCTTAGCTGTGGAGTTTTCTCAGGACCGTTGACCAAAAAGATAAGTGCACTTTGGTGACATAGGTTGGCAAATCAATTCATTTAAACCTCTCCGCAAACTAGGGTCTCACAATCTCTCTCCAATATATTTATATAATATTATTTGTTTTTAATTTATATTATTACATCAAATATATTTATAATAAAATTCAAACTTTTTTTCCACACATTTCACAATTTTTATTTTTGAAAAAGAACGTATATAACTCAATCGCTAAAAGAAAAAATATATGTACAACATCTACATAAGGTATACCTAAGGCGGCACGCAAGCAAACTGTGCACACAAAACTTTTAGATAATAGTTCAAAATATCTATAAATAGGATTAATATGTTTACAACTACAAATGAGCATGAACTTTGATTTCTCAGGTATCTAAATTAAAAAATTTATTCAGTTTAATGTGGTTCTTTATTTAAGAAAAATAAAACTTTTTAAAAGTTTCAAAATATTATAAAAATTTATTTTTTTAAAAAAGTTTAAAATATTATAAAAATTAAAAATTTTAAAAGCTGCAAATTATAATATTTAATTTAAGTATATAGAATATTAAAAATATTTAAACTCCACAAAAGTATTATTAATGTTTTAACTCTAAAAATATTTAAAAATTTAATAATATTGTACATAAGTATGATTGAACGGGTTTGAGTTTACATAAATATGTTTATATTTTTCGTACGGGTTTTCTATTTTTAAAATCTTTTACGGGTTAAGCTAAAATATAATTTTTTATTTACAACAAAATCGTCTCGGGTGTACCGCAAGTTGACCACATATATATATGAATCTACTTATAATACAAATTCATAAAATTATGTAAAATTAAAATGATATAAACACATATAAAACTAGGCTATATAAACCAACTACAAAAATTATCAACCAAACAAACATATTAAATTATGGACATGTGGTGTATACCACAGGGTAAATCCTAGTAAAATAGTGTATTGGTAGAATTGATTACAAAGAAAAACATAAAACTAGCGTGTAATGCTTTACTAATTGTATTTCAATTCTCTTGTCTTTGATATATTTTGCTTATGTAATAATTTGCATTATGAAGATAAAAGTCTAATACTTTATAGTTTAAAAAACTATGGCTTAAACAGAAAATGATTAAAACCAAACTGAATAAACTAGAAAAATAAAACTACAAGAAAACATAATTACATACAATTTTATATGGTTTTAGTTTGGTAATTTTGTGGGCTATGCCACTTTCAAAACTCAAAAATGTAAAACTGCCACTTTCTTTAACTCTTTTTCAAAACATGCCATAATACTATTGTGTGCAACCACAAATTGACGATTTACCCCTCGCAAAAAAGACAAAAAACGATAGACAAAATCAAAATAAAAAAAGAGATCTCGTCCACAAGATTTGGTCTACTACATCTGATCCATCTATAGAAAAATGTATGGTCCATAGTGTAACCTTTGCTCAATCGTGGATGACATTTTACAGAAACGCATCACTTGTTTCATCCATCTGGACCGTCGAATCAGATCCACTAGAACTGTCAGGCGGAACAAGTCTATCATAACTAGTTTTTGTCCGCCGGAAATGGTTTGCTGGATCTGGTTTGTCACAACTAGTTATCGTAACTGGTCTATCTGGTCCGCTGGAACAGTTTATAGTTCGTCGGAACTGTCTATGGTCCACTTGAACTGGTCTGCCAGATTTGGTCTATCGAAACTCGTCTATTTGGTCTGTCGGAACTAGTCCGTCGAATCTGGTCTGCGAGAACAGGTTATAGTTCACCAGAACTGACTATGGTCTACCAGAACTCGTCCGCCAGAGTTCTGGTTGAAACTCGTCCGCCGAAGTTTTGGTCTGTTGGAACTGGTCCGTCAAATTTGGTCTGCCAAAACTGGTTATAGCTCACCGAAACTGACTATGATCCGCTGGAATTAGTCCGCTGGATCTGGTCCCCCGGAATTAGTCCGCTAGATCTGATCCGCCGGAATTAGTCCGATGGATCTGGTCCGCCGGATTTCATCTGCTGGATCTGGTCCGCCGGAATTCGTCCGCTAGATCTGGTACGCCGGAATAGCTTGTTGTTAGAAGAAGAAAAAAGAGATGAAGAAAAAGAAAGAAATAATTTAAAAAAAAAAAAAATTTTAGATATTTCATTGATGAAAGGATATAAATGTCTTTTTTATGACTCTTGTGGCAGGGAAAAGAAGATAGAAAAGAAAATAGCACCTGATAAAAGATTGGATACTGTACATGACATAATATATAATTTTTTCTTTTAATTTTAATAAATTGATAAACTTTAAAACAAATACAAATCAAACCGAAACGAGACCTAAAATTTTGTCCCCAGTCCTATTTTCCATAATGTAATGTTGTCACACTGGTTAGTTGAGTCGATTTAAATATCTCTTCGAGCACTAAAGGTTACAGTTATAGTACAGATTTGACTCTTTCAACTTTCAATACCATCTTCGTAGTTTTATATTTCAATATTTCGAGTAGTACATATTAATTAAATGTGTCAATAACAAATTTGCAAGGAGCTTTTGATATTTTTTTTCACTTTTAGTTGGTAATTAAAAAAGAATGTTTGCAAGAATTTTATAATTGTAAACTAAAACACCATTTGCTTGTTCAATATAAAAAAAAAAACAAAAAAAAACACCACTTGCTTTACTTAAAGAGTACTTCGAATACTAGCTAATTCAACGCATTTGGAACCAAATAGCACTATTTAATTTTGTATTTTGTTTTGCCTGGTCAAGGTTGGATGAAGTCAAAATGTTGGTACCAAAATGAGCGAGTAGAATGATTAAGTGCACATTATTTAATTATATCATTTATTAGTATAAGATGCAAGTGGTGGTTCATGGACCTTGTATATATAAATGTGCATAATAAACACAAAAATAGCTCAAACACAATCTCAGAGAAAGAAAAAAAAAACAAGAAAAAAGACAAGAAGATAAAAAGGATGGAGAAACAGTTACATGAATCCATGGAGGCTGCTCACATTGAACAAGCCATTGGAACACACGAGTCGTCGCCGAAAAAGGAGAAGGAAAAATCCCATAAGCATAGAGGAATATTTCATCTTCACCACCACTCAAAAGATGAGAAAGAAGAAGAGAAGAAGAAAGAAGGATCAAAGAGAGAGAAGATAGCTGCAGCAATGGTTGGTCTTGGAGCCACCCTCAAGAAGATTAAGCATCCGCGCAACCACGGAGGAGGTGGAAAAGAGGAACAAGAAGGAGGAGGAGGAGGAGAAGGTGAAGAGGAGGAAGGAGAAGAAGATGAGTCTTCGGAGGAGGAAGAAGAAGAAGAAGGAGATGATGGTGGGGATGAAGAAGAGGGAGGCAAGTTTAGTGCTTTCATTACAATGATCGCCGAAGCCTTTGAAGAATGAAAATTTAATTTGTGACTCATCTTTATTCGAATTTGCTATCAAATTCATTTGTAATGTTTCTACTCTTTCTAAATTTTGAAACGGGACGTTGAATTATGAAAAATTATATGATCTTTTGGTATCTATTTGTAGAAGTAACTTAAATTATAGTCCTAGTCCTGTCTTTTTTCTTGTGTGGGAATATTATAAATGTAGTTCAAAGAAACGACTGATTCTCCATCTACTTAGCCAGCCATATAAAAGATGTTATTGGATAAGCTCTAAGTTATGTTTTTTATGCTATCTCATATGCCTTGATTACTCAATTGTACACTTGATCAGTTGACTTAGAAAGATAGAAATTGGGAGTAAATTAAAGTATACTTTTATAGGTCTAGTTACCAGCTTATTTTTTGAAGCCTCAAGTTTGTAATCAAATTTTGATTGACATAAGAAATAATATTTAATTTAAGTCTTGTTAATCGATCATATAATATGTAGTTACATTGTTCAATTCTTGTTGACATTTTAGTCTTCATGTCATGTTTTTGCATTTGGTGAAGAGATCTAAAACAAAAAATTATTTAGTTACTTATATCACCAAAATTTATTTATCTTTTTATATAAATGTTTTTAATTATGCTTGAGCTATAGCAATTTTAAGGACAAATGCTCTACTTAAGTGTTGTCCAATATCATATGAGTGAAGAAAGACACACAAAAAAATGATCTTGTAGTGATATATAGGGCCAAGTCAACAAAATTTTCCAACTTTTTCAAAATAGCTCATCGACCGTCAAATTAGAAGAGTATGAAGTGCCATGGGCTCTTACTATGTGTAATGCCCATGTCCCGTTTTGGAGGGTGTCGATCGACACCACTGAAGGGTGTCGCTCGACACGAGCGTATTTCGGTTTGATCGGTTCGTTTTTAATTGCAAAATCGTGTGGTTATTGGTTGGTTTAACCTAAGTTGCGTTTAAAAGAGGAAAAGGTCGACCTAAGGTGAGGGCAGCCGCGTTTGTTTCTTCTCTAAAGTTTTTAAGTTCTCTAGAGAGGTTTTGTGAGGTTTGAGAGTGTTTGGAGGCTTGATTTTGGTGTTTATGTCCTTGGGAAGAGAGATCTCGTAGCTGTGGTGTTAGGAGAGTCATTGGTTGCTGTTGTTGTGATCTGTTCGTCCTTGTTTCAGTCATTTTGAAAGGTGAGTGCATGACTAGGCTGATCTAAGTAGTTTTGATTGTTTTCTCTGATTGATGATTGATTTATGTGTTTGTATGCTTGTTTATGTGGTATGGTGTCTTGGTACGAGTCTGAGAAGGTGATAAACCGGGCATGGAGTACTGGAGTTGGTGGATCCGTTGATGAGAAGTGGCTGGAGCGATGTTAGGATTTCGGTGTCGCTCGAAACCAATGGAGGGTGTCGATCGACACCAACTTTCTTTCTCGCGAGGATGGTCGCGAGTGTCGAGCGACACCAGCGGATGGTGTCGATCGACACTACTCGTCAGAACGGGTCATATTGTGTTGTTTTGTGTTGTATTTGGTGGTTATTTGATTTATACTTGGATGTGTTCATTTCTGCTTGTATGAATAGCCAGTGGTGTGATGATTGTCTCACTAAGTATTTATGAAATACTTATGCATCTCTTTCTTTCATGCAGGTAAAAGCAAAGTGTGATCCGTGGAATCATGGCGAGGAGAGGAGGATGATCTAGGCGCTCATTGGTGTTTTAGATTATTGTAGGATTTGTTAGGGTGTTTGAATGGAATTTAGAGGCATGTTAGGATGATTATGTTTCTGGAATAATGTGGTTGAACTTGTTGGTTTGATGGAATTGTTTAATTGGATTTTTATTAAGTCTTCCGCTGGTTACGTTGATTGGTTTGTTTTAGTGAGATTGTCTGGTTTGCTTTAAATGGATTAATCCGGTTTGCATGATTTAAAAAAAAAAAATGGGATGGGTTCTTTCACTATGGAAAGTATAGATTTGATATTGCAGCAAATTAAAGACATTGTGCTATCCAATTTCTAAAAATTGGCAGTCCATATGAAAAGGAATAAAATAATTAAGTTGCACACTAATATTACCAAAATGCATTTACACTCTTCCTCAACACATTTCACTACTATTTGACATATTTGTAATAAAACGATTCATGATGGGTTATACTAGGAAGCAGGGCCGGCCCTTTAGTAAGGCAAGGCGGCCCTTTAGTAAGGCAGGACCGGCCCATTAGACCACATTTTATATAAAACAATTAATGCCACATTTATGAAAACATGATGTTGGTCTAGTGGTTTGAAACTATGAATGGTGCACTAATTTTGCAAGTCTAGTGTTCGAATCTCATCAACGACATAGAACTTTTTTTTTTAAGTTAATATCTTTTCATATCTATCCATTCCGAAATTATCTCCATACCATTTTTTTTATACGGCAATTTCCTTTACTTTGATGAGATTCGAACACTAGACTTGCAAAACTAGTGCAAGTATTAAACTAACACAAATCTAACTATAACAATAATTTCGAGGATAAAAGGAAGAAAGGTAAACTAATTTTCTCGACAAAATAGAGAGGAGCATCGTTGCAAAAAAAAAAGAAAAGAAAAAAAGGGCAGCACTACTGATCTGAACTTTTAAAGTTCCATAAATCAAATTGCAAAATTCTATTGTACTACTTTTCAAAAAAAAAATATATATATATATATTGTATTAGTTTTGGTATTTTTCTAACCCTCATCTATCATTAGTCATATTCTTGTTTTTTCTATATGTAATTATGAATCGTGGGTTTTTTTAAATAGAGTTTTTCTAATTGTTTGTAGGAACTATGCCTCATGTTAGCACTAGAAAACATGTTTCCTAGATTTGATAAAGTAGTAAAAAGAGACGGGAGGATGAGTTGATTAGATCTCAGACTAACGCCATGCTTATGTTACAAGAACTCCTAGAAGTAATGTGGTTGATGATGAGATAAACGACAATGATAATGAGAATAATATTTCTGAAGATGTTAAGAAAGATCAAAGAAGAGCATATCAATGATGAGCATGATAGAGGAGTTGATATGGATGTGAACATGGAACATTGTGAGAGTAAAGAACCTGACGGCACTCAAGATCAACATCAACATGAGTTTGTGGATACTAATGATCCAGGGAATTGGGGTAAAATCAGAAAGGACACAAGAGATTTTTTGGTGAGACAGGGTCCTCCGGATAAAAAACTTAAGGATTATCAGTTTCCAAAAGATAATGCTGGTAGGTATTTTTCTCTTTCAAGCTTTTTCTCATTCAAGCTTTAGAGGTCAAAGATACAACAAGAAAAAGACTTTTTGACATCTTGTAGGAGGCATTGATTGATCTGGAGTTGAAAGTTGATGATGTGAGAGGACAAGGATATGACAATAGGGCGAATATGAAAGGAAAATATAAAGGGGTGCAAAGTAGATTGCTTGAAATTAATCCCAGGGCATCTTACACACCATGTGGATATCATAGCCTTAATTTGGCTCTTTGCGTTATGGCTACCTTATCTATCTACAAAAGTTGTGTCGTTTTCCGGGATTGCTCAACGGATTTATTGCTTGTTTTCGTCTTCGACAAAGAATTGGGATACATTCAGCAAAATGGTGAATGGTATCACACTAAAACCATTATCGCAAACTCGATCGCTTGGAAAGTCGGATTGACAATGTGAAACCTATACGGTTCCAAGCTCCACAAATACGAGATGCTCTATTTTACTTAGCTGAAAATAGTGATAATCCAATGCACAAAAGTGAAGCGGAGTCTCTTGCAGAGAGTGAAATACATGGAATTGGAGGGTTTGACTTTTTGTTTGGAATGGTTACTTGGCATGAGCTCCTTTCTGCTTTTAACATAGTAAGCAAAATTCTTCAATCAGAGGATATGGATATAGATGCTGTTATTTTTCAACTAAAGGGGCTTGTTTCTTTTTTGAAAGATTATAGAGAAACTGGTTTTGAGCAATTAAAAGTTGAAGCTACACGTATTGCAAATGATATGGAGATTGAACCAGCAATTTCTATGAAGCGAAAACGTACCAGAAAAAACAAAAGACATTTTGATGAAGATGTTCAAAATGATGATGAAGGTATGGTTTTACAAGGTGAGGAAGGCTTTAGGATTAATTATTTCTTAAACATCATGGATCAAGTGATTGTTTCTATTGAGACGAGATTTGAACAATTTCAAAGGTATGATCAGATTTCCGGATTTTTGTTTGATTTAAAGAAGCTGAAATCTGGTAATGATGAGGGGTTGATGGAATCTTGTGTTAAGCTAGAAGCTTTTTTGACGCATGGTGTGCACTCTGACATAAGTGGAAAAGATTTATTTTTAGAGTTAAAACTTCTGAAAGAAGTTTTACCAAGAGAGATTAAAAGGGCTATAGAGGTGTTGGATTTTTTTTTTAAATAATAGAGGGTTGTTATCCGAATACGTGGATTTCTTACCGTATATTGTTAACGATTCCGGTTTCAGTTGCCTATGCAGAAAGAAGTTTTTCAAAGTTCAAGATGATAAAGAATTATCTACGTTCTACGATGTCACAAGAAAGATTGAATGGATTAGATATGATGTCTATCATGAGAAATATGGTTGAAAATCTCGACTATGAGAAGCTGATCAATGAATTTGCTAAAAGACAAATTAGGAAGGTTGATTTTCGTTTAGCAAAGTAAACTAGATCTTTTTATTTTGTTGCAATTTTTAGTAACTTTTTCATTTGACTATATTTAATCATTTTTAGTCATCTAATGAATGTTTAATACTGATCTTTTTATCTTTAATATATATATAAGAGAAGACCACATTTTTTAATATGCTTTAAACCACATATCGGCTAGGACCGGTCCTGCTAGGAAGTTATTTCTAGTGTCACGTGAGTGTGAACAAAACACAAGAAATATTTGTTGGTCATCATGCAGAGTTAGTTGACAAACCTTAAGATTTTTATGAAATAATGCACTAGCTGTCAAACAAAAATGGGTTTAGTGGGTCGAATTGTGAAGCAAGGCTTGAAGAATGAGATGGTCCAGTCTACATGGTCGATTTTATCGTTTTGGGTTTATTTTTTTCATTTAGGTAATTTTAAGATATGGTGTTGATTTGAATTTATCTTATTTAGTTATTGTTTCTATATAAGTTGATGGAAACAAAAAATAAGATATAAAGAATTAATTTGTTAAAACTCTCATATTATTTGTTCTTATATGCCCTTGACTGAATCTATCAATCAGCGACAAAAATGGGTCTTGTAGTCGAACATGCATGAGGCCAACGGGTCATTTTCATATTTTTTTAAGGCTTAGGCTTTGCATGTAAGTGATAGAATGATCTAAAACTTTTATTTGGCTTGTGAGTTGTGACTGAGCCGACAAAAGCTAGGGATGAAGGACGATGCATGCTCTAAACTTATGAGTTTATTTCATAATTCATTAACTAGGTTCGGACCCGCGATACAGCGCGGGGGAAATAATTACTTATATATAATTTTTAACAGATTATAATGTATTACATTTTAATTTTATAGTCGATTACGATAAATCATATATTTGTGTAATAATTTTAAATTAAATAATAAACAAAAAAGCGTGTAAATAATAATACATTGAGTTTTAATGCAATTAAAAAAAAAAGTGAAAATTTAACAGCACGAAAGAATATTTATCGACAAATGATTCAATTTGACTATTTTGTAGTAGAAGTAGGAATATATGTAAAAATTACATACTTACAATATATTTTTTGACGGACTAACCCGCAAGAATTCATTTTGTAAAAAATATTATTCATAACTCGCTTAACCATTATAATTGTGATTTTAACAAACTACCCGCGAACTATCTAAATTTTACATATTTTGATATATAATATATTTTATCAATAAAAATTATCTCTCCAAAATTACATCTATGTCTCCAAAATAATATTTAAAATATTTAAATCCTAAATTACATATATATTTGAAACTTTTAATTATAATATTTTGAAACTTTTTAAACTTATAAATATGCTTATGTAACAATGGTTTTAATATTGGTCATACTTATACTGATTTTAAACCATTTTCCAAAATATTTAACCGAGTGTAGTTGAATATTATATGTCCGTTTTGGAAAATTCAAATTGCAACTTATGCAAAAAAAAATAATTTTTTATTAACATTTTTTTATTATATAGTATAATATCATAAATTAAAAATAATATTAACTAAAAGTTAAAAAAATAATAACTGATTAGTTAGAGAAATATTAGGAAATCATAATTTTTTTTTTTTTTTTTGGAAATCATAAAATTAGTTATGGAAATAATATAATCTTAAAATTAGATTTGGAAAGTATCCGATGTATGTATCCAAACCCAATTTAGTATCCAACTTTGAAGTATCCAATTGTTAAAATCGGGTTAAATTTTCAATTTTGACCCGACCCGTATTCTATTTTGTACTTCTCTTTTACTAATATAGAGATGAATTACGAATGAGAAATTAGTGGGCTAATAAGGAGCTTGTTATTAAGAGGGATAGGTTCTATTATGTAATTTGTCTAGACTTATGTATAATTTGGTAATTACATTACAGTACTTAGGTTTATACGTATCTTATTATATAAACCTTGGTTTTCAAAATCAGCCATTAACAAAATCGTGACACATGTCAATTATAAACGATAAGATGTTGACACGTGGCGTAACTAATTTTGTTAATATTTGGATAAAATAGAAATATTATTAACCCTATCGAAAAAGGAAATATATAAAATAAATACTTATTATATAAACTTTGGTTTTCAAAATCAGCGATTAACAAGATCGTGACACATGTCAATTATAAACGATAAGATGTTGACACGTGTCGTAACTAATTTTGTTAATATTTGGATAAAATAGAAATATTATTAACCCTATCGAAAAGGAAATATATAAAATAAATATTATAAAGAATTATATTAAAAATTATTAATAAATTTAAGCAAATAACCTAATTTCAGTTATGTCAATTGGGTTTATTAATAAGATAGAGATTTAAAATTTATAATTAACAAGAATTTATGGCGGTTTTTGTTTACTGACGAAGATTAAGGTTTAAACTTTAATTTTACAATTAAATCAGGTTATTTGTTGGTTTGGGCATATAAATGATAAATAAGAATTATGGTTTATCTTTATAAATTAAAATTATGGTTTAAGTTTAACAATTAAACGAGATTATATGTCGAAACTTGGTTTTTAAATTTACTAACTCACGTGATCATGATAAGTGTCAAGTAAAAACATAAGATGTCGCAACATGTTATATCTAATTTTGTTAATATTACGATACAAATAGAATTTTTAAACAACATTAAGAAAATAATTATAAAAAAATTAAATAATTTTTTTGAGAAATACCCCTTTTGGTGTACCCATTTTCAAAAACACCTCCTTTATCTATCCATTTTCAAAAATATCCATGTTTAAATATGAAAAATTATAAAGTTTTATATGGTTTATAAGGTATTTCTATATAATAACTACTACTTGTGAAAGAACCCATCCCATATTTTTTTTTTAAGCATGCAAACAATCCGGATTAACCCCTTTAAAGCAACCCAGACAATTTTAAAGAACACAACCAACTCAACGTAACCAGCGGAAGACTTAAATAAAAATCCAATCAAACCATTCCATTAATCCAACAAGTTCAACTATCAATATTCCAGAAACGAATTCATCCTAACATGCTTCTAAATTCCATTCTAGCATCCTAACAAATCCTACAATCATCTAAACACCAATGAACGCGTATATCATCCTCCTCTCCTCGCCATGATTACACGGATCACACTTTGCTTTTACCTGCATCAACGAAAGAGATGCATAAGTATTTCATAAATACTTAGTGAGGCAATCATACCACCACTGGCTATACACACAAGCACATTCAACCATAATCCAAGGAAAACAACCAAACAACCAATAAAAGATAAACCAGAATCGCTTCTGACTATCGGTGTCGATCGACACCCTCCACTGGTGTCGATCGACACTCGCTGTCGACCCTCGCGGACGACACCGGTCTCGACACTCCAATCGTAAGACGCAGTTATCCTCGCGCGATGATACGTTGGTGTCGAGCGACACCCACCCTTGGTGTCGATCGACACCGACTCCCAGCAGACGCTCCAACTGCGTTTCTCACTGGATCTCTTCTCCAAAATACCACCACGATAAGAACGAGTCTCCAAAGAATTCCACATGCATCAATCATCAAATAAACAGCCAAACAAGCAAAGAAAATCAATCAAACAATCATCAAAACCCTAAAATAAAGATCAAACATGCTTAGATAAGCCTGGTCATGCACTCACCTCTTTAACCAGAAGAACAGCAACGAAAACAAGGAAGAACAAGGAAGAACAAGGAAGGATCTGTCTCCTCTAACACCACACAACACTGATCTAGCCTCTACTAGCCTTAAACCACCAAGAACACCACCAAGCACCACCAAAGACTCACAAAAACCCTCAGAAGCTCTAGAACCTTTTTCTC